TAAAAATTAGTGTAGTTAAAAATTATTGAACGTTTTGAAGGGTTTTTTTGATTTATAATTGAAAATTTACTTTGTCATTCATAAAAAATGTAATTAAAAAATTTAATACAAATATTTTTCATTTTTAAATGAACATATTAAATATTTATAGTATTATTCAATAATATGTTATAAATCTTTGAATATTTCAATAACACGTTAAAAATTTTTGGTTTGCCTATTGCCATATATTTTATTAGTTCACCTACTGCTCCCGGAGTGTTCAACTACTGCGGCTTGTCAGAATTGATTGTTCAACTACTACTCCTTTCATAGTCTATCTTAAAAACGTTGTCAAATTATAAATATTCAATTATTTGCGTTATTTTGCACTTGAATCAATTCAAAATTGTTTATATATTCATGAAAATCACTAATTTGAACTAATAATTACATCTTTATATATTAAAAGTAGGCTCAAATACGTTTTACTTTGAAACCTGTTCAACTACTGGGTACTTTACCTTACTCATATAAGTATCCTCTATACGCAGGAATTTTTTAAAATAATCCTTGCGGCAGTAAATTTTTAAATATTAGCATTCAAAATTTGTATATTTTACATACAAACCCTATGTTGACCGACGTTCATATAACGAGCGTTTTATTAAATATCAATCGTACTTTTCTTAAGATTGTTTTAAAAAACTAAGAATCATTAATTGAAGATATAACAAGTATTTTTTATCAAAAATAACATAAAAGAGCGGTATTGATTTTTTTATAAAAAATCTTTGAAGTTATCAACTTTCGATATTTTACGTGAGTGGAAGTAAACGAGCGATAGTCTGTAAAGAGAGACAGCACTAGTGCGTGAGAAAAAAACCAATAGCCATAATCTATTGGTGTCTTTGTGGTGTCTATGAATGTCCTTAAGTAAAATTACTCACCCTTGTACCTGCTAAACAGGTTGAAAAATTTAGAAGATCATTATAAAAATTCCACAGTATTTTTTTAACATACTATACTATCAAAAAATAAAAAAAATGTATTTTTTGAAAATTCTAATCCGGGGTCCCTTTAATTAGAAAAAAATTATAACATGTGTCAATGAACCGGTAGTAGAGAATTAACATTCATTGTCTCTCTTAATATAGTAACAAGTTTCTTGCTCTTTGTGACTTTTTGAACGTGAGCATTGAATTAAAATTCAATCTTGACGCTCTATCCGTAGTGGCTTGAATCAGCCTGATTCTCATGATTGTTACTTTTTCTTCTTCTTTTTCTTGTCCTCTGCTTTTTATTTTTCTTCATTCCCTCAATTTTTTTCCTCTTTTAGAGCGATCTCTAACAGATATTACAATTGAGGCTGTGAATTTCGTCGAGAATACAATTAGACTAATTAATTCATATACAATTATTATTTTACATTACTCTTCAAAATTCCTTTTTAAATACTAGGTGAATGATTTTTTTTCATATTCATTCAAGTTTTTTTAGCTTCTCATGGTGAAAGCTTTGAAAAAATTCTAAGAAAATATGTAAAACTTTTCTCTACACATTTTACAATCTTAATCTTGTGTGCAATTTTTTTTTATAAATCTTATTAATTATTTAGTGTACTAATTTCATTTCAGAGAATTTAATGCTTCGAAATCTTAGAAAGTATAGTTAATAATAAAAATATGAAATATTTTACATCAAATCGACGCTTAAAATACATGAATATTGGTAATATATTTAATGATACTTAAATACTAGATTTTTACCGATTTACAAGTGAAAACTTTGGACTACCTTTCGCCACCTATCGGACTAAGCGAAACTATTTACAGAAAATGAAATTTGTTTTAAAAATATTAAAAGCTTTTATAAAAAAAAATTTAATTCCTTATTTTTATTAAAATTATTTTTTTTTGTAATTATTAAAATAGTTTCTTCAATAAATTCGCAGATTTTTTTATTAAATTCAAAAAGCTATGACATAAAAGAATTAAAATCATTAATTGAAGTAATCTATATTATTAAGAGAAGAAAAAAAATTTTGTCTCTAGGATAGTCTTATGATAAAATCGGTTTATTTTAAATAAAATTTAGTGTCATTGTAAAGGTCTTGACTTGAATTTATGCCTTTTCAAGGTTTCATATCATTCTCACCGATAGTCACTATATTATGATAAGTAATTAGGCTGCATTCAAAAATGCCCTATCTCTAGATACATAATTAAGAAATGACCTTGTATCTTGAGAACTATTGATATTTTTAAAGATATAAGCTCACCCCGACATTACACTCATCAAAACCTTTCATTTGAGTACCCACATCAATTTTTCATATATTTATATATATTATATATATATATAAATATATAAAATATATGAAAAAATGCATGTGGGTACTCAAACGAAAGGTGTCAATGAGTGTAACATCGGGATGAGCTTATATCTTTAAAAACGTCAATATTTAAGAGGTACAGTGCAATCTAACAAATATCTTATGAACTATTGACATTTTTAAAGATATAAGCTCACTCCGATATTATACTCATTGAGACCTTTCATTTGAGTACCCACAT